TTTTAAAATCTTTTGCTAATTACAGAGCCTTGCAGAGAAAAATGGCAAGGATCAAACTTTCTACTTACTGAGTAGGTACCACTAACGGACACCACGGTGCTGTCCAGGATGAGAATAAGAGCAGGAAAATTGAGGAATGCATGAGGTGTTTGTAACAGCACAGAATTTCGTATCTGATGAGCTGTAGTAAGAGAGCAGCAGGCAAGAAATGTAACCGCTATCTGTAAGCATAGCAGCTTCCCCAAAATGTTTCTAGTCGGAGGGTTAGTCGTGCTTCTATCAGGAGCATGTTCAGGCCCTAAATTACATAAACAACAGTTCAGATTCAAAACACACAAAGTGGTAATCAGGTCTCAGGTGGTGCCATGTTTTTCTTTAATAATGTTCATTTTTTTTCTGATGGCTTCTAATGTCAAAAGCAAGCTTGAAGGAGGAATCTCAAGGAAGAAGGCTGGCAGTCCTGCCCAGATTGCCTCAGTCCCTTGCTCTGGTCCTTGTGGGACAAGTGCTCCCTTAATTTTAGTCAAGTCTACTTCAAATACAATTAGACAAGAGGCTTTCTTTTGGCCTACATATTGAGTGAGACACATTACTAGTAATCATTATATACTAGTTTATTGATTGTGGCTCTTCTGTATTCACTGTAGATAGGCTTGTTTTAACAGAACTGGCAAGAGACACGTCTGCTTAACAGACAATTACTGATTGAACGTTTAACAGTAAGCAGGGGTATTTTATCAGGAAGCACAGAAATGTGCAGGGAATTTTGACAAAACATGAACAGGGCTTTCTTTTGAATCTGAGGTATTTTTCAAGAGAAAGGTCAAAAGTCTTTTTTCAGAGAATTTCAAGGGTGGTTTAATATTTCGTTTTCATCTCTGCTTCATGTATTTTAATGTTTGACATAAGCAGACAAATGGAAATTATTAACAGGAATTACACATATGGAAAATCTACAAGATCCCACACAGCTGATTACACCAGGCCTTTGCTTTATATATAATGTTGCCATTAAAATGCATTCCGGTTATTAGGAAAGCTGGAAGTGAGGCAATTATTTGAATAAACAAACAAAGACCTGGTTGCCCGTAGCTTGGTGCATCACTGAGATGTCTGAAGGCTCCTTTCCCACGCCTGCTGTCTCATACCTAAACTAGCAGGGGCTGTTGTGCAAGGCAACCTGACAGCTCCAAACAACCAGGTAGCTCAGCACATTGTTCTGAAGCAATTCCTGCAAACCTGGCACGGTTGCGCATTTGGGGCACAGGAAGCCCACAGGATCCTTGGTTTATTAGAGGATGAAGAAAAGGTTTTGCAGCTTAGGGAAAGTGGAGGATGGAGTCAGCAGGCTGCAGGAAGCTTCCTGTGGCCCTTCCAAAGGAGACAGAAAAAACTTGTCCTGAGGGTGTGGAAGAACTGGGATGCAGCAGTTTGATTTGCCAGGCACTAGAAGAAGGTGTGGAGCTACAGACTGCTTTTGTGCCTAAAAAGTACAAGGAACAGTAATAACTTCAGCAAAAAGAAGTAACTCTCCCTCACAACTGATGCTGTAAACCCAGCCTTGCTAGCAAGCAGTATTCCTAAATTAAAATTCATAGGTAATTAAACAAAGATAAACAAAAACAATACATAAAAGAAATCCCATAGATCTGAATTGAGGTTCTTGTGTTGTGACAAAATACGCTTATTTAAATGTCTTAAGAATGAAAGTCTTCATTTTCAAAAGCAACTAATATTTTCCATTTCTACTGAAGTCTTAAATTGGGTATCCCAAGCTGTGTAAAACCGCTGGCCAACATATTTGTATTTACTCTGGGAACCAGCATAAGACTCAAGACAGTTCAGCTTATTAATTCCCCTGCTTTAATGTGTTTGGTTTTTTCAAGTTATGAAATAGTAAATACATTTGTGTCACTTAGCAACCCTAGCCCATTCTCAAGGAATGTCTTTTGTTCTTGGAAATCTATACTATACTACTATAGTAGTATATATACTATAGTACCATACTATACTATACTACTATACTATAAATACAGGTTACAAAACAATTATTGGGGAATCTAAACTCATCTTACCTAAACTCATCTTATTTGGATGGCGTTCTGGCCCCTGCGCATTCTCCACTGTAAAGTGTGTGTAGAAAATTAATGTACTTTGCACAAGCATCATTCTTTGACGCTCTCTATTGTTACAAAGGGAAGTTCTGCATATTTAATAGATATGACAGAATTTTCTGTTGAAAATAAAAGACATGAGAAATGGCTACAGAAACAAAGGACTAGAAAGGACCTCCTAGTCCCTGGGTTCACGGAGTTCAAAGCCCTCTTACTGTTTTATAAACAACACCATAAATACTTTACCATTACGATGTAACACTACTTAGCCTCTTTCATGAACTTATCAAATTGATTTATTTTAATACACAGCACTGAAGTCTGAGATCATACATCACACCGTTTCAGCATAAGGTTTTGCACATGTGAACACCTGTGCAATTCATAAGCCTTATGTCTCATTTCCCTGGGACTGGGTTATTGCTTTTGCACACAGAACATAGCGTGATCCTGAGTACATACGTGCAGTGGAAGTACTCCTACTTCTGCACCCGAGATTACACTTGATTGCAGAATTCAAAGGTTTAAAGCTGAGAAGTCACATACACTTGTTTACCTTGTCAGGATCAATACCAAAGATAAGATACATAAATTGATCTCTATATTTTGAAATCAAATGTAGCCTTAGGAAACCCTATAAAAATAGGTGAAAATTCTATTGTTAATTAATACAATTAGTATGTGTTTATGAAACTTTCATATTACACAGAGGGTATATGAAAGTAAAACCAACTAACAAACTGAAAAAAAAAAATAAAAGCTGTTTTCTAAAAATGTGAACAGGTAAATATAAAGTGAGATGCGAATTGAGAATAACAATATACAGAATGGAAGGAACTATTTCTTGCAGCTGCAACCACCTGGTAATAGAATGGCTTAAATAACAATTTGCAGTCATAATTTTGACAATCCCAGAACAGAAATAGACAATACAGAGAAATGTATCAATCTCAGGAAAAAAAAAGAAAAAAGAAAAAAAGAAAAGAAAAAGAAAAGAAACCAATCACAGCAAAGTTCATTGTCAGACTATCTGTCAGAAAAACGTTGTCAACACTTTTGCAACTCTTCTCATCCTTACCTTTATTTTTAGAAGACCCTGACCCTACCCTGTATGTCTGGGAGATGGGGGGGTTGCTTAACATGCTTGTGGTAAGCTGCTAAAATAAAAGCCATGCTCCGGAATTCATCACCAGCAGCGGATGACAACGTATGATAATTAAGCCCTGATTTTTTAAAGTGAAATGAGAGGACTGTTTTCCAGGTACACCCTCAAATCTTGCCATAGCGAACTTGGGACACAGCCAGATGACTTAATGGCTACACTTTAGGGACTCACAGTCTCCACGAGGCAGTTAACCCTTGCTTATGGTTACAAAATCCGCACTATGGCTCATAGACGTGCAACAGCCGCTTTATTGCAAAATCCGCTGTTTAAGCTGTTCTCATTTCTACTGGCTGAGAGGCACTGGCAAACAGCTAACAGCTAATAAACAACTGTAGTCATCCCTGCTGGCAAGATGAGACCACGACTGCAGACAGTTTAGGACTACTCCCAGAACTGATTTGGGGTCATCTCTGGGTGCCGTAATGCTGAGCTCCCCTCCACAGAAGCGAGCGCAACGTAAATTCATACTGAGCCCGCTTCGAAGCAGTTTTCCCCTGAAGGCAAACCTTTGAAGGGGAACTTCAGATCTGACATGGGATGTATCGCCTTCTCAAGCATTTAAGCTTCATCTTTTCTTTCACTGCTACTGTGAAGAGAGCAGTTAGAATACCAAAATAATGGCTGAGAACCATGAATTAGGAGAAAAAAAACTAGGAGAACATAAACTGAAATACCCTTCTATGAATAACTCCTGGCAATCTGCAAATTTACCATATTCATTTTGCTGAGGTGGTAAAACTATTATCCCTGATTAGTAGCATTCAATGTAAATGTTTTCAGTGGGCTTAGTCCTGAAATCCTCAGCAGATACTTAGACACTTGTCAATCCGCCCTCACTGAAATTTTGCATTAGAAAAGATCTGAGGCCGTTGGGATTGTGTTAATGACCACACTCGCATCTCCCTATCGGTGGCAATGATCTGTCCCACTCTGCAAACTTTTCCCAGCACTGCTGTTGGCTAGGGATGCAATGAAGTGCGATTTGTGGTTATCATTGCTGGGCCCAGGTGTAGATGTAATCACCAGCAGCACTGAGCTTTTGCTGGTATAGCTTATTTTGCTTTGTGGGAGGGGAAGGAAAGGCTGGAATAAGCTGCACTGGTTCATTGCAGTTTGGCAGGTACAGAATACCAGATTACCTGTTCAGAAGTGCTCTCAATGTAGATCTGACTTGGAACGGAAGTAGATCCACCTACTGCATGTATGCAGGCCTTTCATTATTTCACTTCAAAAGATACTGCATCGGCTAATGATTAATGGTAGAATGTTTTTTTTTTTTTTAATTTTTGACACGGGGAAACAAGATCACATCCTTTCATTATCTGCAGAACAATGAGATCCGAATTTTGATTGCCTGTTACCAAGCAGGTAGTACATTAAAATATATGAATAAATAATACGCAATTTGGTAGTATATTTTATGCCAAGTTCACACAAACGCAGCCTGGATATGCAGTAATGGGTTTGGACATCTAGGTTGGAGAGGCCAGTAAAATTTTCACATGACAGGTATCATTCACAAACACGTGCACATACACGAGTCTCTTTCAGTTTGTAAAGCAAGTGAAAGTAGCTCAGAAAAACGTTGACAAACAGATCAAAGGACATTCTTTCCCCTTTGCCAAATGTTTACTTATTAACCCAGGACACGGTGCTGATAACAGTTTTGCATGCGAGCAACTTCCATTATACGAGTAATTCCACCAATTCCAAGGCAATTACTACCGCTGGAAGTTATGTGAATGAGCATATGCTGGACTGAGGCCCTAACAACGTTTTGAAATCCATAAAACGTTATCTAAGACTCATCAAAAAAACTTTAGCATTTGTTTAAAAGATACGGTGACAGATTCAAGGCAAGAAATGGGACTAGGACAGGAAGCGGATGACATAAGCCAGTCAATCTTGGTCTGGGTTATTAAGTAGACCTCAGATAGAAAACCTGAGATGACGGTATAGACTCGTTTCACTTCTGCTAATTCTAATAACGGAAGATACGATCCCAGAAGCATTTCTATGCCATGGAATAAAAAAACAACAATACCCCACTGGAGGCGAGGACACTGCACGCACACAGAACAGACCAAACAGGCTCGCTGAACGCACACGGCTTGAACAAACCGAAGCGGTAACAGGGCTATGTTGCGATCTCGACATCACACCTTGCAGGAGAGCCCCGCGGAGGCAATTACGCTACCGCCGCCTGCTCTTCAAGGTGAGCGCATC